ATAGGATATAACGGATTATATCCGCAAAGTCAGCAGCCTTTCTCCTATATCCAAAATAACACAGACTGTTACAATTTCATACCCTAGTCTCATTCTTCACAACAAAACTTTACAGAAAATGTTGATCACTTTTAAAAGTGAGAAACCAGAGATGAAAAGGTAAAATTCTCCAGGGTCACTTAGCTAGTAAGTGGCACAAGTGTTAGAGGGGCTGGGGCAAAGAGACTATTGGAGAAATATTTTAAGAGGTAAAATCTTGAATTGATTAGTAATTAGTTTGCTGTGGGAAGTAAAGGGATTTACTCAGGACAGTGACAGGGCTAGCAGATGAATGCATTTGAAGAGTGGATTATGAGTTCATGTTTCCAGTGTGAATTTGTACCATCAATTGATAGCATAGGCCTGAAGCTTGCGGTGTTGACATGGCTAAGAATGCAGATTTGATAGTCGTCCAAAGGTCACCTAACAAAAACTCAGAGAGCACAGAACCCTAGGGAGTGCGGCACAGGGTCCAAGGAAAAATGGTGCGATGGGTGAAAGAACCAGACAACTGTGCAATCAAAGTAGCCAAGGGACTGGAGAGTGTGGGGAATGAGAAGTGGGCAGCGCTGGATGTGGCACTGAAGTCCAGGAGAACAACTGCAGAGGGTCAGTAGACCGGGCACTTAGGTCCTTGGAGTGATGTGGGCAGAGTTTGGATTACAAGAATGAGTGAGGCACTCAGGAAGAGAATGATGGGCAACCACCCTTAGAACAATTCCAAATGAGATAGGTTAGGAAGGAGCTTGGATCGTCACTGATTTGATTGACTTGATGTATTAGTCAGTTTGATTTCTTACCTCTTTATATAGGGTAATAGAGTTCAGAAAGATTTCAGAATGTGAATCCTGTTACAAGTCTAAGAACTAATTTTGAACATTTTAGTTATGCCTTGTCATTGAGTTTTACATCTGTGTTATAAAAAGTCTTTGTTGTTATTTGATTATTTATGTGAACCTTGTTAAATAAGATAAGATTGTACTTTATAATTATTGACTGCTCATTTGCTATGAAAAATTTCAGAAAAATTAATATTCATTGGAATAAATCAATACTGTGAAGATAAAAGTTTAAATTCACACTAAAATATTTAAGCAAATTATTTTCCCTTTTACTCTGTTCTTATACATAGTTGATGTTCTTGTACATATTTAGACACACAAATTTTTGACACCAGAGGAAAGATGTCTTTTGACATGTCTTTTTCTAGGACTTTGCCCATGCAAAACAGCTCTTCTCTGCTGGTTTGGAGTTGGTGACGGAGTTCTCACCCAAACTTCGTCAGGTCATGCTGAATGAGATGCTGCTTTTGGATATTCATACACACGAAGCTGGAACGGGGCATTCAGGAGAGAGACCGCCTTCCGACCTGATTAGTAGGGTTCGAGGCTATCTGGAAATGAGACTTCCTGGTAAGATTGCTAAACAAAGCTGTGTTGTAGAAACTCAACCCTCAAATGATTATGGAGGAAAATGTAAAAGAGGGTGTACTTGACTTTCACTATCCATACAAAGTGATGTCACTCCTAAAACTGAATTTGGGCATGGAGTTTATCCAATTAGGAACATAGAGTAAATGGTCCTTGGCTTCAAACAGTGACTCTGCTCCCGCACGGTTCTCGAGGTTCGAAGTCTGCACTCTCGATATTGACGTGATCCTGCTCTCCAAGCATTCCCGGGAAGAATCCTTTCTTGCTTTTTCCTAACTTTTGGTGCCTCCCAGCAATCCTGGCATTTCTTGGCCTCTGTTTCCTTTACATTACGCTCCTGTGTGATTGTATAGCCCCTTGTAAGGACAATAGTCATTGGATTTAGGGTCTACTCTTAGTCCAGAATGACCTCATCTTAACTAATTGCATCTGCAGAATACCCTATTTCCAGTATAGGTACATTCTGAGGTTCTAGTGGAATATGAATTCAGTGTCCTACAGAAGAATCAAAACTTCTCAAGTGTACAGGGAAGTGCTCATTGTTATTATCACTGTCAAAAAGCCCTCTCTTA